GAGAGAGAGCGAGAGAGAGAGAGAGAGAGAGAGAGAGAGAGACAGACAGACAGACAGAGAGACAGAGAGAAAGAGAGAGAGTGAGAGATGAAGATAAATTTAGTGAGATGTATTTTAGGGGATGGGGAAGATAAAAACACCTATATGTGTTTCCAGTGTCGTAAAACTTTTATTAAAGTAATAATAAACAGAATCTCATTTCATAAGGCCTCTTTGGATCTGATGACTTTTTGTGTGTGAAACATTTTAACGGCTTCCATCCTGTCGACTTTGTATAATAATATGCAAACTACGGTACAAATGTATTCATTTTGTACCCAAGCCCAGGGCAGTAAAGTATGATATGGCTCCTGACCTGTAAAAGCATCCATCCCACCCAACCCATCGTCCGTCCCCCTCCTCAACTAGACCAAAGAAAAATAAACGGCCAACAAAACAAAACAATATTTGAAAACCCAAACAAAACATAATTTCAAGTTCAACAGCTTCATGGACATAAACTGTAATTTTACAATATTTTATTTTTAATATCTGTCTGCCTGTCTGTCTGTCTATCTGTTTTACCCTTCCCTCTCCATCCCCGTCCCTACCTCTCTCGCCTTCCATCCCTCTCTCTCTCTCTCTCTCTCTCTCTCTCTTTCTCCCCCCCCCAGACACACACACACACACCTATACACACATCCACATACCCACTGACTATTTCTTTTAAAAGATTATACTGTACTTACAATTTTAGGTGTGGTGCTTGATCAAGATATGTCAATGAAATCCCATGTATCCAACCTTTGTACAAATCTATATCTCCAACTGAAGGAAATAGGGAGCATTAGAAAATATCTATCTGTTGGTGTCACCAAAACTTTAATAACATCAATTATATTGTCAAGGATTGATTATTGCAATTCCTTACTGGCTGGTGTACCTGATGAACAGTTACAACAACTACAAAGACTACAAAATATTGCTGCCAAAATAATTACTAAGAAACTAAAGCATGATCATGTGACTCCTATTTTAAAAGAACTACGCTGACTCTCGGTGAAAGAGTGTATCATATATCAAATCTGTTTAACTTGCAACAAGTGCTTACATGATTTATCACCTGACTATCTAAAACAGTTTTTAACACCCTGTGTACCTCCTAGCACGCTCAGATCATCAAGTGACAATATGGCCAACGCTCTTTTTCATATTTTGCCAAACTTAATTGTTTGGAATAGGCTTCCAAAAACTATCAGAGAAGCAGAAAATCTAGAAATTTTTAAGAAGAAACTAAAAGCATTTCTGTTTTCATCAT